TATTAGTATAGTATGTATACATAATTAGTATCTTAATTAACTTTTATATTCTGTAATCTGTAACTATATTGTATTCTCTTATCATCTTTTATGTAAAATCCTGATAAGTCTACCGTGGGTAAATAAAGTTCACAATTCACAATTCACAAAAATGCCTTCGCGCGAGCTTTTTAAAATGTCGGACAATGAAAACATTTTAACGTGTGAAATTAACAGACGCGAGTATATTAAACGAGAGACAAGTTACAAAAACGTTAATAAAGTTAACCATTTAAATAACGTTTAATTTAAATAAAGTCATATAAATAACGTTTTAATACAGTTAATCGTTGTTTCACGGTAGTTATTTTATAAAACATTTTCCAAACGGTTTTCCGCGCGTTTTTTACGTTTTTCGAAAGTCTCGCAACATCCCGCGTGATCCATGCACGCGGGACGTGGAACAACCTCTGGCACCAAGGGTACAAAAAAGTCCGACATGTACACATTTGAATATTTTGCGTAATATTTTGATGATCACCACTTTGGAAAATAGCCTAACGAGCATTTTCAGACGCATGTACAGTAGTCACTGTAGTGGACGGTTATTGCTCTTAATTCAAGACAATCGAGGACTTACAGGATAAGTAAATAAATCTACTTCGCGAAATATTGGGGGCGAAATAGGTTGTCAACATATGACCACCTTTTGTAGCTTGAGATCTTATAGTTGTTTGGACTACAGGATAGCCTACATGTACCAATGCTTTCATGGGCGAAAAAGTATTGTTTCAGCTTTGTTACAGTTATTCAGATACCATTCAAAGGCTTTCGGATATTACTGGCGGGGGTGGGGGTACTGGGGTGTGTGGTTCTCCCTAGTGTCCGCCACTGGACAAATCTTCTCTAAATGTGTAGTAATCTTGTGCGTGTTCCTCAATTGTGTCAATCTGGCGCTGTTTTCTAGATGTTCAAGGACAAAGAATAGAGTAGCTAGTATTATACCTGTCAGGGAAATACCACCAATGAACTAACACCTTGCCAGACCTCTTCTCGATAGGGCGTAACCAATCATCTGTCAAAATAATATTGGCTGAGACAGAACAAGAGAAACAATACAGTAAAAATAAATCCATGGTAAATGGAAGTTCTCATAAAGTTATGTTTTCTTTGACTGATTATTAAAAGTTTCACAATTTTCGTCTCAAAATGTGGAAAACCGTGCATTAAGGCCCTTTCTTCTTCTGATGGATGTGAACGAATGCATGAGTTATGAATGTTCAGTTAAGGGGCAGTGACAACTGACGAGGATGCATATAGTCAGAACATTCATAACTCATCTACTCATTCACATCCATCAGAACAAGAAAATTGCACTAGAAATCGCCGCAAGAATCACAAGTGTAAATGGGCGTTTAGAAATCGACCTGAATACTTCAGTTGCGGATGATGCTAATTGTTTCAGTAACCCTTACAGTATATAACACATAATCATCCAAATTAGAACAAAAGCTATAATTTTCTTACCATCCTGGGAAGGAGGAGGTATAGGATACACAACATGCGTCGCTGATTCTTTATCTTCAGCAATGGATCCCTAAACATCAGATAAAGTAAAACATTCCATAATGTTGAGAATACAATAAATAAGTAAACATTATTACACTCTGTTTCAGTAAGCCTTAGGCGAACCAGGAAACATTTTTGCTTTCTGGGCACTTTTCAGCAACAATGTTTCATCATTTGCTCAGAGCTCTACTCCACATAAACATATTTGAAATTTTGCCATTACACAAAGCATTTTCATACCACAACATATAACAAGGCCACAAAAACATCTAACTATAGCTCGTGAAATAAACAAAGCTTGAACAAAACCAAAACTTCATCCAAACACGCACTCACATTATGTTTTTTCAAAATGTCTTTGAGTTTTGCCATCACCTTCGACTCAATCTCAGGCATTAGATAAACATTTGGTACAGTTAGAAACTTTCCCTAAAGAACAAAAACTATTTTACTGCCAACAATCTCCTATTTTATGGATGAGATATACCCTGTACTGTACTTTTATCGGACGTCACACCATCTAAAGGGAGTTTAGTTTGAGAAATTTCAGATGGAATAAAAAAAAACAGTTGGGAAAAGTTGACAGACCCCTACGTTCCCTCGAGAACATGCAGGTGAACACGTTACTGTAACATTAGGCATTTTTCTTAGACCCTTTTCATAATGACGTCACAAAACTACAACTACCATTACTAAATCACGTATGGAGTAATAACCTTTTTAAAACAGATACAATATTCTTTAAGAAAAAAGTATGGAAATTTCCTGTTTCAACCTCTGGTCACGTGACCAGAAATTTTTATTTATGCTCAAAATTTCTTTTAAAAGCAAATATTTGCACTGAAAACACAAGGAACACATAAAGATATGATTTAATAATGAGCTAGAGGGGATTCATCAGGAATGAATAATAATGAATATGATTTTGCTGTTGGTGTAATGTACTCAGGTGAATAAGATGCTTGAATAAGAATCAGAGTAACATCACAAGCAAATAATGATTTAGTATTTGACCCCCAATTTGTAGGAGAAAAGTTGTCCTCCGAATTGGAGTGAAAAAGCTAAATTCGGTTTGCTCATCCTAAGTGCTGTTCATTCTTCATGAAACTTACCATCTACATGCAATGTAAAAATGTTTCTTTATGTATTTCTAATGTAGAATTTCGAAAGAGATTCAGTTAGTTCGTAACCAGTCACATAATTGTTGTTTATTCAAAACCAGTGCGAAAATCAAAATATCAAAATTTCCATAATTTTACTTGCAGCAAAGTACAGTGAACCGCCATATTGTATCTGTTTTTCAAGGTTAATATTCAATAAGTGCTTCAATTCTGGTAGTTGTAAAGGAGTCTATACTAAATCAGTAAATGTGATATAAATCTTTTTGATATGTCTAAATTTAATCAGTACATATGATTGTGCTTCCATGCCAAGTGAGAGGGGTGGATTAAAAGAGATGGGAGCTTAATAAATTTCATCCTCCAGAAAAGATGTGGAGACTTAATAGAGAGGTGCTTATTACTGAAAGTTTGAGATAAGGGCTTATTATTGAGAGTGGGGCTTATTATTAAGAGAGGGACTTTATTATTATGAGAGGGACTTTATTATTGAGAGAGGGGCTTATTATTGAGAGAGGGGCTTATTATTGAGAGAGGGGCTTATTATTGAGAGAGGGGCTTATTATTGAGAGAGGGGCTTATTATTGAGAGAGGGGCTTATTATTGAGAGAGGGGCTTATTATTGAGAGAGGGGCTCATTATTGAGAGAGGGGCTCATTATTGAGAGAGGGGCTTATTATTGAGAGAGGGGCTTATTATTGAAAGTGAGATTTAGTAGGGAGGGAGCTAATTAGGGGGATATTGAGGGAGGAGGGTTAATGGAGGATTTATAGTAAATATTTTAAACGCTACTAACTTCCTGACGAAGTGCATTCGCTCGAAACATCGACGTTCTCCTTGTATTTTTCAGGAAGTTGTATCTCTATCAATCCGAAGCTTTCTAAATATTTTACACGTACTTATGCTGCTCTTACAATACCTCTTTTAAGGATTTTTCGATGTTCAAGAAAAGTTCAACATTTCTGTCCATCCTTGATGGTGACTGGAAATCAAATCTTCTCCTGGTAAACAAGATATAACCTGTTAAAACAGAAGGCCCACCTCAAGGGCAACAATTGTTTTCATACATTACATACCATCCCTGTTCTGTTTTAGTTTTAAAAACTGTAGCAAGAATGTGACATAGTGAACCTCCAGAACTATAATCCAGAAACAACTTCACCTAGAAAAAAATGACGTGATATACTGTATAGTTTAAAAAAAATATCAAAACTGAACATCAAACCCTAGAAAATATGACTTGCAATAACTTACTGGTAGCTTGCATAATAATCGTTTATTCCCATTAATTCCAAAGTTGTCCTGAAATGAAACATAGAAATTGAAGTCACCTTTTACCAAAACATCCAACATTCACTTTCATTATCGTTCGCATTCATTATCGTTCGTTTTTGTTAGCGTTTGCATTCATTAAAGTTTCGCTCTCACTAGCATTTGCATTACAATTCGCTTTCACCACTGTTCATTTGCTTTCCCTTTCATTAGCGTTCACTTTCATTAGTGTTCACTTTCATTAGCGTTCAATTTCATAATCATTAGCGCGTTCACTTCTACAGTATTAGCGTTCAATTTAATCAGTGTTCACAATCATTACCGTTCTCTTTCATTAGCGATCACTTGCACCAGTGTTCGTTTTCATTCGCGGTTTTTCCTTTCCTCTAACACAATTGGTTAACAGCTGAGCCAGGGCTTAGTTGACACCCGGTTAACGGGGCTATAGTTGTTTACAAAAACATACTTTCAAGGAATCCTGAAACATATTGTAAATATTGTAGGACGGAAGTCGAGGAACACTTCTCGGTTCAATCACATTATAGGTCACGGTATGTTTTGTGGATCTTCGGCTGTGTCGGGTATTTACAATATTCAAGCTGAAATCAACAGCTGACAGCTGCAGGTGAAATCAACAGCTTTCGATCTCTTGTGTTGTGGCTATGCCTCTCCTGAATAGGAATAGTTTACAGAGTGCGCCGATCACGTTTTGGTACGACTTCTCCTAATACTGAGTTCCGTGCCACATCAACAATGTCAACGAGCAACGTGAACAGCCATGTCTTCGTCGTGGAATACCACACCAGGAGTTGGAGACATTGTCAACGATGTGGTTCATGCATTACAAGGCACCTTATCTAATCTCGCGCAGTCCACTATCGTTGCCCGTTAGCCTGTCTCGTCACCTGCAGCTGTTTCACAACTTCCCGGACCTTCGGCTATCCCTAGCGTAGGATCGATCCAAGAACCTGCCTTTCAATACCTTCGCGGATGCTGCCACTACCGTCGCCGTCGGTGCTGCAAGTTCAAACCCTGCGGCTACGAGTCCTTCGATCGTGTCGTCGCCGCAAATTTTTTTTCCGTAGACAGTCGGACTCCTCATTGATAGTCGGACGCATCATTGATCCGCGTCCAGGCCTCCGTGCGTTATCGATCGATCCCTTCGTACCCTGCATAATTGCAGAATACCCGTCCACTAGTGATATCATATCATGTAGTCCGGCCACATTTCACTGGATAGTGGATACGTATATACCAGATCTTATTGCTTGGTTCTAATATACACAAACTATTACGAATTGATAACTATAAAGGAAATATCATGCAAGACTTTTAATGTTTTATGCTTAGTATGCTTTATAATATAATTTTTTTTCTCCCAGCGACGCTAATTAATCATAATCTGTCAAACACCAATGTCCGGTTGTGAGGAACATATTTACATATTACACCACATTTTAAGCTCTCTATAGCATGTGAATTTAATCTATTAATGCTAACTAAGTTAACTAGCTGTCACCTTGATCTCAAAATATAAACTACTTGACTGCGTATCCACGTATTTCGCGTATCCACTAAAATATAGAGCTACCTGTAGTATGAGAATTCGATCTAATGCTAATCTAACTGTATCCCTCGTTCTCAAAATAACTACTTGACTGCGCAGTCCCGCGTTCCACTAGCGATATAGAGCTACCTTAAAGTTTAACACTATGACAATTTAATCTATTAATGCTAAGTCACTGTATGCCTCGTAACAGTATACCTTTACCACCATGGGATTTTAATCTATCATTTACTAGACTATGAGACTATCGATCTATTTATTATTAATCTATTGAGAATAAATATAGATGTATTAATTAATACATAGTATCCATGATGTTTGAAAGGCATAACTTAAAAAGTGGACGGATTTTCTGCAATCGCTCCGAAAAGAGTTACAAAAAACATTTACAAAGGTAAAGAAAAGAAAGTGGAAATGGCGAATATAACTTAATAAAATATGTTAGATGTCATCACCACACAAGATATGAAGCCACAATGTGTCCTGCTCAGATTTTGACATCTCAACCAAGCAATACAATATTTTGATATCCAGGCCTTAAAATATCGGTCGGTCACGGACATTGTCCGACCCATTCGTAAAATTGTCCGACGTAGTGAGGAAACCACCGGACATTCTGTCCGACCTAAGTGAAACTGAGGTTTACTGTAATGTCCGACCCGAGGTGTATTTGTGTCCGACCGAACTGTAGCTTTGTCCAACGTAAATCAAAATGTACCATAGTCCAGGATAATATATAAAAGGGTAATATATAAAAGGTGAACTGGAAATGTTGTTTTCATGTAATTGAGCGCTGGGTGGCGAGCAAAATGGTGAAGTGAAAAATGTCTTACTGCTGTTATAGGCATGTAAGCAAGTTAATTTTGGCTTGGAAATAAATGTGAATGTGGCAAATTATTTAATATTTTCACAACATTTACCGTTTGGAATTAATACATTGTGCTGATATTAATTCGTGTCATTCAGACTTATTCCCGAGCCAAATTAAAATGGAGGTCATCGGACATCATCACGCGTATGTCCGACCCAAACTCACAGTCATCGGACATTTTGTCAGACGGCCCTGTAAAATATATTTTAAGGCCTGTGATATCATCAATTGCGTGAGCAAGACACACTGGGAAGGCGCATCTAATGAGAAGAGTATCCGCTGAATATTTTGTTTAAGGGCGCGGGTCAATGATGCGTCCGACTATTGATGAGGAGTCAGACTGTCTACGGAAAAAAAATTTGCGTCGTCGCCAGGTATAGTTAATGGTATGGGTCATAGCCAAGCTAGTTCTTGTGGTGGCAGAGGTTCCTTCCCACCGGTGTCGTTGGTATCCTCCCTTAAGGCGCTTCAGTTTGCCTCCGAACCTCATTCTCATCCAGACCGTGCCAAAGTGGACTATGTGCTTGGTGGGATTGCGCACGGTTTCACCTCGGCGCGTAAAAACAAAGCATCGGCCTGTGATCATCCTGAGATCGTGGATGCGTACTTGCGGAATGAAGTCGCTCTGGGAGACTGGGACGGGTAGCTGGTCCCTTCATCACGAGTCCTTTCCCAGAGTTGCACATTAGCAGTTTTGGCATTATTCCCAAAGCTGGTCAACATGGAGAGTGGCGTTTGATTTTAGACTTGTCTTCACCTCAAGGCTTTAGTGTCAACGACGGTATTGATCCCGAACAATTTTCGCTTCAATACATTAAATTTGATGTCGGCGTGGAAAATTGTACGTGAATCTTGCCTTACCTTTCGGGTTACGCTCGGCGCCATTCATCTTCACTTCTATCGCGGATTTAGTTGAATGGATGTTGCGAAATAACTATGCTGTGTCCGACATCATGCACTACCTAGACGATGGATTCCGTCCTCCAGATCGCACGTTTACCGAATGCCAAATTGCAAGCTCTCAAGCAACTTCTTCAGGAATGGCGGCGGATGAGATGGTGTACGAGCACGCAAATGGAATCGTTGGTATAGTAGGAAAGCTCAATCATGCATGCCTCGTAGTTTGGCCGGGACCTACCTTCTTGCGACGCATGAATAATCTACTGTACTGAACGTCGAGTTTCGATTAGACCTTCAGTGCAGGACTTGAATTTTATCGCGGCAATCGCCGTAGAGGGAGAACAAAATGCCGTGGATTATTGCTGCAACGACGGCAATTTTTTTGCCGTATATAGTGTAATTTTTATACTATATTCACTGTGCATTACTATTGCATTACTAATGTCAACAATAAGTCACTGTATAGTAATTGATCACTTACAGGTAGCCATGTCAATCCCTGGAAAATGTGGAGTAATGGACAAACTTTCGCGCGCTGTAATAATTCTGGCAGCGAAGTTTTCGATCAGTTGTAATTTCTTTGAATCGAATGTGTTGCTCAAAAATAATTTGCTTAAGACCAATGACTCTATAATTATTTTTAAAGTATTCTTGTTCCAGTATGCCTATTGCAGCAACTGTCGCTCACCACCTAGAGATCCAATGCCAAAGTTTTTTTACGTCATGGTTTAGCCTCGTCGACCCACAGAACGTATGCATCGGGCCATCGTTTTTGCACTTTTATCAGGTAGAAACGGTTTGCCTCTTCCAGCGGGAGAATGGTCCCTGTGTCTTTTTGCCACGTAGTTGGCTGATAATTTAAAACCGGCTTCCCTCAAAGTTTACTTGTCTGCCGTTCGTGCACTACATATCGAACAGCTAGGGTTATCCTGATCCCTTGGTTGGTTGTATTCGTTTACAACGTGTCGTGAGAGGCATCCAACGTTGCAAAGGGGGCGGGTCAGACAAGCGTCTTCCCAACACCGACACCGGACATTCTTATGGCGATCTACGTTTTTTTTGGACCACTCCGTGTACGACGATGTGATGTTTTGGGGTAGACTTCGTTCAAGTCCGTCTCTCAAGGGGTTGAAAATAGCAATGCACGCAAACGGTCAAAAAAGGCGCGAAAATATGAGAGAAAAGTAGGGATAGACGGACTTGGATACCCCGCAAGCGCGCCGAATTTTACCGTCGGATTTTCCCTACGGAGGCGTGGCTTGCCAGTTGAGAACAACAATTCGAAATGCTGCGAGTGTCCCAAGTTCGTCTCTCCCTAATTTTCTCCTGAGACGGACTTGAGCCAAGTCTAGTTTGGGGGCTGTTTGACGTATTTGAGTTTTTACGTTCCTCTGAGTTTACCGTACCTGATGGCAGCTCTTTCTTTAGCGCTCTACACCTGACTGTCCATGATGTTTCCACCGACTGCCATGTTAGTCCGTCGTGCATTCAGTGGCCACCAAAGTGTCCAAAACTGACCCTGTTCGTCAAGACTGTACCCTAACACTAGGTCAGGGCCGTGCACCTTTGTGCACAATTGATTCGATCCTGAACTATTTGGATATTCGTGGCGGCAACCCAAGTCCCATGTTTGTGCGTTCCAATGGCGCTCCGTTGACGCGAATGTTTTCACGGTACACCTTCATCGCGTACTGTTCGAGGCTGGTATTACTGCATGGTCACTTCGCCAGTCACAGTTTGCCCTTGCTTCCCATTTCCATTTCCCTTTCCCTTTCCCCACCCCTTGCTTTTTGTTGTTTTTTCTTATTTATTTTTTTTTTGGGGGGGAGGGTTATTTTTTTTAGTACTGTACTTCTGGGATTCATTTTATAGAAGTTTTATAAACTATATTCTCTATTCCACTGAATTCAGTTTGACTAGTGCCGGAGGTCTACCTTGCAAGATTTGTCATACCAAATTCCTATTGCTACCATAATTAACCTTATTTGTGGTTTTGTCTTGTGTTTTGCCACCACTGCTGTTTGCCAGTTTGACTTTGTGTTTGCAATTGCTATGCCCAGTTGCCATTGCAATTTGCCCTCAAAGCTAGATTGCTTACTAGCCTGTCTTATGTGTAGTTATTAGAGGTGTGCATCGGATCAGATTGGACGTTTATAATCCGACAATTGGCTAATGTTTAAAATCCGATCCGAAATGGTCTAATCCGATCCGACTTTTGATAAAGAATTCCGATCTGATCTGAAGAATCCTGTAATAAAATAAATTTCTCATTCACGTGGAAATATTTAACCAAATAAATATAAAAGCAAGAAATACATGTCAAGATGCTGACAAAGTGATGTCCAATTGAAGTATCAAACAAATAATGCAGCAACACTGCGTTGTCGTGGATAATTAATTCATTTTATTTCGAATATCGAGGGTCCGATCCGACTACGAAACAGCTTTATCAATCCGATCCAATCCGAAATGAATATTTTTGTTCTGAAATCTGAACGAATCCGATCGAATTGGATTTGCACACCTCTAGTAGTTATATTCTTTGATGACTTTTTCATATTAGGTTTATAATTTTCTCGACTGACTACATCACGACAAGCTATTATAAATGGCTTTGTTTCTGATTAGTCAAAATTGAATTAGGTGCTGTACTACCCAGTGTAATGGATACAATATATATATATACACAGAATTTAGCATATTACAGTTGTGTTCACAAATTATTGTACTACTTGTAGATGTAATGTATGTTAATGTGAAAAACATAACAATTTTTATTCAACAATATTTATTTGCATTTTGCTTATTGTTGCATAGAAGAACAGGTTTCCTTTGATGGTCGCCACATATAGTTTAGCCACCATCTACTCTGCTATGTTCGATTACATTATCCATTTATCCGGGATTCCGGATGTACGTAAATATTCGATCGGAATTAGTACCCTCTCCCTAGGTTACGCGGTTCGCCCCGAACGGCGGGAAAACGAAAATGATAAAATACTCGTTTTTTCTTTACTGTTTTTCGGTGTTGAACGCTTGAATTCAGAAGATTTGTACTCTAAATTTCGATTTTGGCTTCTTTTGGCCGGATTTGGCTACTTTTTACGTTGCATTTGGCTCTTTTGGGCTCAGACCACCTGGCAACCCTGGAAGTAACATGCATATCCTTAATAATCCAAGATGGCAAACAGCTCACTTTTTTCAGTCGAAATACTTTGAAAACTAAGCAAGACATAAACAATCTGTAATAGAGTTTAATAGAGTTTATTGCCAATGTCCTTTAAGGTTTCAAAATGTTGATGGCCTAAATATTCGGCGTACTGTATATACACAATGAACTTTCCACTATGGATGTCTGAGAGCTTCGAGAGAGATTTACTTACTCCAGTCCAGTTCCAGACTGCACAGTTGGTCAATGTCACACTCGATATTTTTTAGGCAGAAATTTCAGAACCTGGGGAGTTAGGGGTGTACTTTATAACAATTTTGTACAATTTAATCTGCCCTCAAATCTCTAATCTTCATTGTTTTTAACATGTATCTGGCTACTTTTGAAAGGTGGTAGCTTGACCCATGGCATGGTAGGTAACCTCTCACAGTAAAGGAATTCACCAAATGGTTTTCCGTGCAGGATGCGTGATCCATGCACGAGGGATGTCGCGAGACTTTCGGAAAGCGTAAAAATACTCGAGCCACAGGCGAGTGTATTTTTACGCTTTCCAAAAGTCGAGCAACATCCCAAGTCACCAAGTGCACAGATAATGCTATCCTGCTTGGAAAACCATTCGGTAATTGTTTTATAAAATAACTACAATGAAACAACGACATTTTGAGAATCCCACGAAGCCATGCTGAAGCTATTGACCAATCAAATTGCGTGTTTCACTGTAGTTATTATATAATGTATGTTACTTCACTTAATGTATTGTATTTCTATTTTCTAGTATGTTTCAAATAAACAGTACCTCCTGAAATTGAAGCAACTGGCCAGTGAGATTGGCAAGACCTTTATTGGTTGGGGGCTCTGCTTGAACATACTAAATTAAAGTAAAATACACCAGTTAAAAATCAGTACTCGCAGTACTATTAATAACATTTCATTGTTGTATAAAAGTATAAAACATGAAATGAAATTATGAAATATAATACCAAATATATAACAAAACAACAATCTTATATATAGTTTGATACATAAACACCAGATTGGTCCAGTACCTTTTTACAGTTCTTCAACAAGTACTGTCTAACTGGTTCAAATTGTTCGCACACAGAAGGAGACTCATAAAGTTTCCAATCAGGGCCACCATCTTTCTTTCGAACCGCCATCTTTTGAGCACAAAACAACGTGCAAAAACAACGATCAATAGGCTAGGTACCAGACCTTGTGGGTTTTATTCATATGGTTTTATTAGTATGGCACCGATCCACCCCCCTGAGTTATCTTTCCAGTTAATTTATTTTAGTCGATGTCAATTGTTCGATCAGGGAGGAAGGGATTCAATTCGTAATTATATGCGTATATCCCCCCTGTGATTTGTTTGTATAATGTGGAAAATATAGATATGTAGACTAAAACCGTTTTTTATCCACCTGAAATTATTAAAGTAACATTGAAAGAAACATTCCGAATAAATAAACCTTGTAAGGTTCAAAATATAAACTACGATAAAGACAAAATTTTGTCTTAAAATTGATGATATTCACACGTTCAGGAGGGTGAAATTTCTGCGTGGGAGTTGCGTGGACATTTCGTGACTTTGCATTCTGCAGCGTTCGTTTTGTTTATTTCTGAAGTTTACGTAATTATTTACAAAAGTTCGTGCAAAAATATGGCGGCGGTAAATTGGCTTTGTGTTCCTTTAAAACGTTCTTCTAATAGCGAAGTTGATTTTAGAAAACCTTTGGAAAAATTTATAAAAGCAACGTTTTCGACAGATATTTATGATGAGCTTAAAGACCGCATCGGCGAGCTTAATAAATTACGAAGTAATGCTGTCAATCGAGCACCCGAGAGACATCAGTCTTCCTTGGATACATTATTGAGGTATATATTGCATAATTTTATAATTTTGCTTCAAATTACAGATATAATAATTTTACTTTCGTTTTCGATCGGCTGTTATATATTCTCTTAGTGTAGAATACTAAAACAATTGGCGTCATATACAATTGTATCGACATTTAAGAGTAGTTTTAACTGTTTTGTTACTTGTGTTTATAGGTGTTGCATACTGTATAATATTAATATATTTTATTAGTATAATTATATCTTCAACATGGTCACTGTACATTAGTCTGAAAATGAGTCTCTGAATAGCTTGTGTATGTAGTTTTATAACCATTTTATTTAGCTTTTTAAAAATCTGTAACACTGCTGTTACAATTCTCTTGCCAAGAGCAGTTATTAAGGGGCTCCACAGACTAGAGTGATATGTTGCCAATGACATTTTGTTATAGACAACTTTTATTTGTCGACTATTGATTTTGTGCGATAGCTACTGCCTGCACAGACTAGAGAAACGCCTTTATTGACAGTATTGATTTGTTGACTACAGCAGAACCAGACTGCATTTTCTGCACCGCGCGTGGAAGATCTTCCGCACACATTCTATTTCTTTATGCTTTCTATATATTTACTATTAAATTTTCGAAATCTCCGGCACGCAATTTCCAAACTTTACAGTCTGGCAGTAGAAGTCAAGGCTCCCTTTGAAAAAGGGATTTAACTATTTTGTTATTGACTACCGGTACTAAAAATTTATCAACAACTTTTATCACACACCTGATTTGTAGACGGTCGACAACTAGTCTGTGGAAGCCCTAAAGTCTATTATTTTTTAGTATAAACCTACTAGTAGGCTATCACATATCGTGCCTTCTGATTGGCTACGCTACTAGTAGGCTATTAGTGATAGCCTACTAATAGAAAATTCAAAATGGCGGAAAGTTTGCGTTTTGCACTTTTGCCGAAGTGTCTGATGATTTTTTGGACGACTTGTTGAACAATTCTGTACTAAAACCCCCCCCGAAAAAAGCAACAAAAATACGGAATGGCAATTTTTAAGGGTAAGAAAATAGACAAAATAACATACACTCAATGAAATTTTAAAACTATTAAAACTGAATTTTGTAAAACATTTTATGCGAACAACAACTAAAATATTTGTTTACCTTTAATGGTTTTATAATGTTTTTTGTGTATTTTTGTATTGTGTTTGCAGCCTAGTTGTAAATTAATGTTAAAGTTTATACTAAAACAATTAGACAACTCAGCCTTGTTGTCTATGAGCAAATAGTCAACTCGGCTTTGCCTCGTTGACTATTCGCTCATAGACAACTCGGCCTCATTGTCTAATTGTTAAATAGACAAACTTGTATGACATATTGCATAATTCATCTTGATCAATGGCTTGTTACTTTTAGTTCCGTTACTTGTTACTTTAGTTTCTGCACTGAAGCTGACATCATATATAGATCTTCGTATTGATGAAAATTATTGCATACCCACATTTTGCATTTGTTTGTGGGTGAATAATATTTTTTTAAAAACAAAATTATTTTGGAAAGACATTATCAGTTGTTTCAGTGGTGGCACCAGGCTAAAAGTGAGGGGACAATATTGAGGTGTGAGAACTTCTAGGGGGGTCCGTGGGCACCAGACTGTAAAGCTGGTTAGAGTCACCTGGACATATTTTTAGGGAAAAGTACTAAAACTGGGAAGTACTTGCATGATCAATATAAACAATTTTCAAACTCAAATCTGCCCCAAATCTCTAAATTTCATTGTTTTGAATACCCATTTAGTCACTTTTGTGCCCCTGAGTGTCCCTTGATGTGCCCTTAGATTCTTAGAAACTGTTTTGTGCCCTTGCCCCTATATTTTTACCTTTGCACCCCCGAGATCTCATTGAAAACTGCCCAACTCTGCAGTCTTGTGTGGCATCTTCCCCTGGGGGAAAATTGGAAATTTAGAGCCCCAGAAATGCAATATCGGAATATCCTGCATTTTGAAGGTAAGATATTATACAGAATTCCAAAGATTATAAGTACACAATCAAAACACATGATTTTCTATGACTATATACTGTGTAAATCAGACCTGGAAGTATACACATCGATAAGCAGCTACCTAAAACAAGAGTCAAAAATATATAATTAAAGAAATGCCACTTTGAGGCAAATTGAAGTCAGCATAATTTTATATTTAAATACAAATTTATGGCAATGACTATTAAGTTAAGAGAAGGTTTCATGGCCAGAAACTGTTGACATGATTATTAAGCAGTAACTGAAATCAGGCCAATGTTACACTATTAAAAATACTTCGACAGACTTTGTTTCACACCCAGCATTTGAGGCAAGTTGCAAACAACCTACTTCATTCTCAGATTTTGTGATTAACAATGTTGCATTATATAATTCACTGTTTACCCTTTGCGAGGTTTGTGAATGACATGGAAAAGCACTGGGGGTTTTATAGTCAAATAACAAAACTCATGATCATGTGATAAAAAGGTCTTAATAAGGAAACAGATACACAAACATTTAGGTTCTATAAAACTCAAAATCATAATATTGTTAAGTCAATGTTCACATAATATTTACAATAATTTATGAAAGAACATAATACCATAATGATTTTACCAGGAATTACTAGCAGATTTCTTACTGGGTAGCTTCACTGATTAAGTCAGTAGCAGGGAGGCACTCCCAGGAGGCACTTCCTCCCCACACCCCTGAAAGCCTTTGAATGATAGCAGAATAACTGTCTGTGTAACCAAGCTGTAACAATAATTTTCAACCATGAAAGCATTGATAGGCTAAAAATTTCCAGCTACAAAAGGAGTTCATATGTATAGGCAAACTAGTTCACTCCAATATTTCACAAAGAGTATGCCAGTGGTGTGAGCAGTGGTCTTAACTACTTTTTAACCACAATCTTGCAGTAATTTTGATTGGTTAAGTTTCGCACATGTGACATGTTCTATAAACTTTATACCTGGCCGCCGGACGTATATATAGTCACTAATTTGTATATTTTATTTCCCAATATCTTGGCAGTCTTTAGGAAGATGTTATGAATGATGTTCATTGACAACACCAGCCCGACGATTTACGCCCGTATCCTAAAAGCTCACTCACACTCAATGAGTGGAGGTTCAATCTGAGCTTCTCTCGAGACTCGAGTGACATTGCTGTTTTTGAATATTGTAGCTGGAGGGTTAGTGTCGTACCTTACTATGTGAGTCACCCTCCAGCTATTCAAAAACAGCTATGACACTCAGGAAAAGCTCAGATTAAACCTCCACTCATTGAGTGTGAGTGTGAGTGAGCTTTTAGCATAGAATAAAGATCCATATAGAAGGGCCACTTACGTCGGAAGCTTTGAAGTTTCTGTCCTCGCGCATGTCGCATTACGCATGTTGGCCGCCATTTTCCTAGCCAGTCAATGACATTTTCTGGCCAATAAACAC